ATGTTGCATCATCGTAGTGGTCATACTCTGCACAGTGTCTGGTTTGTGTTGCATCATCATAGTGGTCATACTCTGCACAGTGTCTGGTTTGTGTTGCATCATCATAGTGGTCATACTTTGCACAGTGTCTGGTTTGTGTCGCATCATTGTAGTGGTCATACTTTGCACAGTGTCGTGTTTATGTTACATCATCGTAGTGGTCATACTTTGCACAGTGTTGTGTTTATGTTACATCATCGTAGTGGTCATACTTTGCACAGTGTCTGGTTTGTGTCGCATCATCGTAGTGGTCATACTTTGCACAGTGTCTGGTTTGTGTCGCATCATCGTAGTGGTCATACTTGGCACAGTGTCTGGTTTGTGTCCCATCACCGTATCGGCCACACATACAGGCACTGGGGAAATTTGGTTTATATAAGTGGTAATATATAATGCTTTCCATGGTAACAAAACGGTAGATGAAAAATGAATCATATATTTCGCAAGTTGTTATGACGTAATAATAAAATTGAGTGGCCGATCAACCGGACTATAAATAACTTTAATGCTACTGATGCTGTTATTTTTGTTTTTCATGTCAGAGTGTGACATTATACTACCCGATCACATGCAGTGACTCGTGTGTCAGTGAGGGCAGTTTGTGTTGATATATATACCTTGACATAAATAATGACACCGCCGTCCCTATGAATGGCGCCATCTAGCGACAAAGCGTTTCTGTGACGTAAATAGATGTAAGAGACGTCGATATTTTTTAATTTGCGTTTTTTTCGTCAAAAACAAATATGTTATTTTATTTGTGTGTTTTTGTGTTTTAAATTATAAATCTTTCCTCGTGTAGGAATACGTTTCGTCGTCCCCAAACAGGTGTTATACGTATTTATACCGCCTTCAATTTAAATCCACTGATATTTAGAGAAAACTATATATTTGTATAACAATATATTAATATTTTTAGGTAATTGCAAATTTAATTCCTAATTAAAGCATGTTAAAATTTGCACAAACAAAGAGGTTTTTAGTCAACGAATCGAAAAATTGAGAATAGTCGATATATTGCTTGCAACGTGTCGAACAGCTTCGGTATTTCACGTTTCGGTGCTTATTTCTATAATCTGTGATTTTGACTCAATTACTTTTACCCATGTGAGGAAATGAGTTATAATTGTTATTGAAATTTTACACCAAAATTCTGCAATGTCATATTTGACTGTTGCATTTGTTTTGTGCATACACAATATCTACAGCTATGCGCAGTTGAAACGTGACCTTTGAAGCATTTCTTCATATATTGAGCCAAAGCTCCACACCATGTCTGGTGGTATTATTCGTCCAATCATTGATAAGAGGAAATAAATACATGACAAAAGGCAGGGCCGTGTGTACACAAAACAAGTATCTAGGGAGGTTTTATGACACGCTAAGCGCGTAACCTGCCTGACCACTTATTTTAACGTTGCATACTGTAGTTGTACTAGAAATGAACCGAGAGTGCAACCCGCTATTTTAGTAGCATACTACTAAACGCACCGTGAATGTGCGTGTACCATAATAAGCCATCAATTGCAATTATAAACAAAGGTATTCGCATATTAACAGTTTTTATGTATTGTAAGAACTTAAGGTAGAAGCCTACTCATGAATGAAAATACCCAGAATTTATTCATTTTGCAATAAACTGTACTCCAAGGCAATATAAGTATAATAACATAGAAAAGTTGGAGTTCACCAGCTCTATTTTCAGGAAATTGATGGTTGTATTTTAGTGGAAAGTCGCCATTGTGGCACTATTATAATGCTTTTACCATATGTTCCTATGGCAGAAATTTTATTCAATATCTCAAAATCATATATTGTTAATGATGGAGTACTTTTTGTTGTTCTGAATTATTTCAAAAAATGTAACTTTTCCTTAACATTGTGTTCCATCAATTGTTCTAAAAATAGCGTAACACACAGAATAATTTCATTGTACCATGGGACATTACTTTCATGATTTTACATAATAAACCAATGAACATTGTCATGCGAATCAATTTTCTCAGAAATTATGAGTTGGTTTCTACCTTAAAAGTGTTTAGTGGGTGTGATTTTACTCTTACTCTCAACATCTTTACTAGAGTTTGTTAGTTAGTTTCTCGACATCTGAATAAATAAAGCAGTTTTCTAACCAATGACTTGATACTTTATTGGTCATAGATACAGATACAGAAGATACAGAGACAGAGACCACGAAGTAATCCACATGTTCTAAGCTCGGTGCACAGATTTTAAATCAACGGTTGTAATGGTGACAGCTCAAAACATTTATATTTATAAATACATTGTTATGAAACAATATTTATAATTGCCGTTTGTAAAACAATGAAACCAAAATGAAATTAGGACGAGTAAAGGACACAAAATCAGTAAAATACTCCGCTGGAGTGGTGAGAATAAAAA